ACCTTGCCTGGAAGATCTTTGGCCTGTAAGTCTGTTTTCGACCTGATTTTTTTTTCCTTTACGCATCGTAAAAAGCTATTTGTGAGGGGGCACACACAATAAAAACACAAAACCTGGCGATAAATTAGTTTTACGGAAACACACAACGGCCGTTTGTCGTCTATTCCCTCGGTGTCGTGCTGGCTTTAGCATGCTAGCCACCTAGTTGTACCTTGTCTCTTTAAACCAGCCCCATTAGCCAGCCAGTGACTCTTTTGAAGGGCAACAATAAACCCGAACCCCTCACATTGGCATTGTTTTTTTAAAAAAAAATTTTTAGTGCCAACAAAGATGGGACGCGCGGTTGAGCTAGCGAAGCTAACTGATGTGCAGATGTGGGATCCAACTTGTTGATTCACGGACTGTCTGACGTGTTGCTAGCGGGCTAGCACTGGGGCTCTTTTTTTTCATTTTGTACCCACACAGAGCTTAAATGTATATAAGCCACTGATTAGTCATTCTTTTGGGTCACTGCTCCCTTGCGCCTTTTTGCATCGACAAGTCTTCAAATCAAGCCAACATGTCAACAAGAACCCCACTGGTGCAAGTCATTGAAAATTCCTCTGTGCAGGTAAGATCATCACGTCGATCAATGAATAGTCAAAATTGCACAAAATACAGCCACACAATTGCACTTACATCTGGATACTGATCTTTTATTTTTAGGAAAATGCAACATAGTTTGTCTGCTGAGAAAAGTGCAACATTGTTTGTTGTGTTTGTAGGAACCGATTCCTGTGGTAAAATTATCATTTTGCAGTGGACAATATTAAGAAATTTATGAAACGTTATAATGGTGAAAATGCACCAATTCCCGGCCAACCTCTGAATGCCAAGACAATATAGGTTGAATCCCAGTGTTGGACTTTCTGAACTCTAAATATTTATGCTCTTCTCAAAATGCTGATATCAATGCAAAGCTTACCAAACACAGAAACAGACAACATAAAGTAGTGAAAAATTTATCATTGTCAAAGAATGTAAGGATGGCCCAAAGTGAATATTTTGGGGCGAAACCGAATCAGGTTGAATGCAACTGTAAGGTTCTGTTGAACTGCACCGATATTCCGATCACTTTGGTATCCTGCAACTACAAAACGATATCTCGAGCCGAGGCGTCCTGAGCCAGATGCTGAGCTGCTCTGTGTTTGTTTACAGGGTAGCTGTGTGGCTCGAGGGCATAGCACTTCCTGCCCTTTGCGGGAACAAAAGTGTACCCCAATACATGTATCCTCACACTCCCAAGTAAAAAGGCTAATAAGGGCTCTCAAATTCATGTTTTTAATCCATATAAAAGGGTGAGTTCAACCTGGTATGCACGTTACAGATTTGGGATGATCCTAAATTTGTACCCAAGGCAGAATTGGCTGTAATCATAATTTCAGGAAGCATTTCTATGAGAAATATCATCTCAGACAAAAACTGTGGTTTTACATGATTCACCCGTTGCTGGTAGTTTTCAATGAAGCCCTGTTTTTGGTCCTCTGTTTGCTCTCTGCAATCCATCCTTTCAATTCACTTGTGCACCATTGCTGCACAACTTACCAAAAGTATGTGTTACTATCTCATAAAGTCCACATATAGAAAGGCGTCAGGTCTCAAAATAAACCAAGGAGGCAAGAACTAACCCCAAAAGTGGTCTCCATAAATGCAGATAATTTTAACTTCTGATATGAGGAGAAGCTTCTTCAGTATGTATTGACTTGACGTTAACCCTCTATTCTATTGAATCAAATTATCCCCTTTTCCGTTGTAGTTATCATCCAGCGACAACCCCAAAACGCTATTCATTGTCAGTAATGTCTTTGAAAAAAATGTCAAAACTTAAACTGCACGGACAAGTGAGCAAAATACGAATGAAGCGACCGGCTTTTATACATTGAAGCTCTGTCTCATGGAGCAAAACCGGCATGTGTTGATGACTATGAGAACGTATTGAAAAATCACACATCATTAAATAGCCGAGTGCACTCAAAAAAGCCCGACTCCATCGCGTCCTTGTTCGTGTGGTCAAAAGATGCCCGCATGCTACACCGAAGATGTATGTTTACTAGCCGCATGTAATTATGTCACTATTTAATTCAATAAGGGCCATAAAAGTAACAAAAAACAAAAATTGCCGCCATGGATTTCACATTTGCTTAAAAAAAAAAAAGTACCATGTACCACAATGATACGTCAATGTGTCAGTGTTAGCGAATTTCATGTATCCACATTTCACCCGTTAGAATGTATTGTCATGCACATAGACACAGCACAGCTGCCAGTCACGATCAATCACTGTCTCAACGAAACGCACGATCAGCACATTTCAACACAAACTGCCAATGGCCGCAACACGAGTCACTCATCAACATGCAGAGGTTTCAAGCCAGCCAACTCTACGCTCTACTTCGCTGACACCCACGTCACTCACCTGTCCAAGCCCCGCCTTTCTGAAGCCAGACACACTCAAGTCACAAGTACTACATTTGAAGTTTAGAATAATACCTGCACCCTTACACGCATGTTATTATGTTTAATAACGTAGTTGCCTGAGTCAGTTTACACTGTTTTGGTGAAATGAAATTCTTAAAAACACCAAATTCCCGAACAAACAGGAAGACTCCACTCGCCTCGATTCAACCTTTGCTGATTACTATGACCTAGATCACTGATACTTGAGTTGAAAATAACACATTTTCGGCAGAGAAACGCCAACTGCCAAGTTCACAATTGAGATAGATGTCTTCTGGTGTCAACTTGAAATTGAAACGTTGCTTTCTCAAACGTGTTTTCAGAGAAGAGAATTGCAGGTTTTGAAAGAGCGGAGGCCTTGACTTGCGGTGCTTCCAAAGTTCATTTGATTCAAAGGCAACAAAGAAACCATGCAGAGCTTTCAAATCCACCCAGTGATGAGGAAGCCCCAGATACTGGATCAAAGAATGGCCAAACACAGGAAGAGCAGTCAGTCATTTGGGTGGTCCCTGGAGATGAGGGCGGGACCGGGAAGGGGTATTTATCACGCGCAGGGATGACTGTCAATCAAAAATGTTCAATACCAATACCTTCCCTTCGCTAGTTTTTTTTTTTAATGCCATCTTATCAATTCCAACAAAAAGAAAATTATTTCAACATGGCCCTCTTCGCTAATGTTGTAGCGGTACACGCTGCCTGACTTGTGTTCGGGCAGTGTTTGTTCGGTTCCCCCTCAATGACGGTGTAGATATGCTTGTTTGTTTCAACAATATGTGTCCTGTGACTGGCTGGCGACCAGTTCTGGGTGGAGTCCGCCTTCCGCCCGAAGTCAGCTTTGCGCTAATTCCGATGGGCAGAGGAAATTTAAAAGTGTTAGAAAAACGTACAAAACCTCTCATCTACTTCACCAGACGGGTATATCGTCGAGCCTTGAATGTGTATGGCTGTCTTTAACATGAGTTTAGGGGATGACAGAAACAGCGCTTGTTCAGAAGAAAGTCCCCAATGTCTTGTGTTTTGAACAAAGGAAAATGAATCCTAATTTGGATTGGTTTGCGTAAAACTCTTGATTCATTGTTGACATAAGAGCCACGCTGTGGCCCACTTACAAGTGCTCATGTTAAGTAGGAACAATAGCTGCTATATAAGGTGGTAACACTGACCATTTCCCGTTCCATTGCCGTCTATCAATAAACCCTTCACTGACAGCATCCAATGAAGTGATTGGAAAACTGCTGTGTTTCCTCAAATCGTCCCTGAGGCGGGGTTGACGTGCTCATTGACAAATTGGGGCGGTGCCTTGGCCATTTCTGGATTAATATTTAACAGTGTTAGCTGTGGTGACTGTTGGCTTTTTCTCGAGCAACCAAGTTCAAGTGAGCTCAGCCGTTCACTAGTTAGTGTCCGTGTGTGAGGAAGTAGGGTTTTTCCTGTTTGGCGATATTCCCCCGTGTCTCATGAAAGAGACCAACGGAGCTCGAAATACAGGTCTGCCCCTGACGTCATCCTTAATCTCAGTGTTGGGTGCTCGGCGCACACTAGCTGGGCACGCTCGCGCGATGGCTTTGAACTACCGCTTTTTTCAAACGTGGCCATTTCCTTATTTGAGAAGACTTGTCCGCAGTGTAATCGCATTTCAAACGCCCATTTATAAGAGTTTCTGTCCACAGTGGTACCTAGGTTATTTTTATTTTATTTTATTTTATTTTTTTTTAAAGCAATGACTCTTTGCCCCTTTCCTTGGCCAACATAATAATAAAAAAGTAAAATGAAAACACTCTCAAGGAGCAAAGACTCTCACACTGAACAAACCGTGTGGTCAATGGACAATCTGAGCTTGAGGTCTGATTGACTTGGCCGGGCCTCTTAAAGCCACACAACCACAAATGCCAACAGTTTGTGTGACTTGTGGCCTGTTTGCTGAAACAGCGTTTTGCGTTACTCTTTTATAATCGTTTCATCATACATTGGATGCCATTTTTTAAAAGTACACAACACAGAGTTAAACATAAATAAAAACAGAGTAGAGTGATTTGCAAATCATGTTGAACCTATTTTTGAGTACACCGCAAAGACAAAATATCGAATGTTCAAAATGATCATCTTTATCGTTTTTAGCAACTGATCCTTAACTTGGATTTGTGTGCCTGCAAAACCCTCCCAAAAAAAAAACTGAGAAAGTTGAGGAATGCTCATCAAACACCTGCTTGGAGCATGCCACAAGTGACAGGCTCACTGGGAACAGGCGGGTGCCATGATTGGCTCGAAAAGAAGCTTTTGTGTCTTGAGTTCCCAAATGGTTATTAAATGTCGTTCAAAGAAAAAGGGATGTAACATCGTGGGAAACATGACCTTGTCTCAGCTCTTTTGGAACATGTTACAGCCATTAAAATACTAAGTTGATGATCATTTGCTCAAAACCATAACAGAGATCAGTTTGAACTTTACACATTTTGTCTTTGTCGTGTATTCGATTAAAAATCGGTTGACCATGAATTGCAAATTACGGCATTCCATCCTGATTTACGTTTAACACAGCACCCTGACGTCACATTTGGAATTGGATATGTATAACCACACAAAAAAATCTGATTCATGGCATGTTGCTTTATTTTAATGCGGAAGATTGATTTGATAATTACGAGTCAACCTCCCACTGTTCTTGCCAAACGGATGACAGCAAACACTGGCGCATTTCCCCCGTTTTTTTTCTTTTTTTTTTTTTTTCTTTCTGCGGCCTCTCCTCGTTCTTGCTTACGTTGAATGAGTCATCGCACGAGCATGACGATCCGTAACAAGCGCGTCGTCATCCCGCCCGAGAAACCGTAAATTCTGCCTTGCTCCTTTAGCGGCGCAGTCGCTAGGCAGAACAGCCGAGAGAGAGAGAGAGACGGAGCTAGCTGGGGTCCTAGCAACAGAAAACCTGCCTCACACAAACACGCACGCATTCATCTTTGTTCTCACCGTGGCACACAGTAGCCCTCCTTCAGATACACACCCCCACTCAGTTTGTGTTTCACTTGACTGGAATGACATTTTAATTGAATGAGCTGTGTCAGCAACCCTATTAATCGTCGCATAAACAGGTGCTGGGGTGCGTGTGTGTGTGTTTGT